TGGAGATTTGAATCGCGAGTCATAACCAAAATATATTGGTGTTCAAATATGGAAACTCTGGTTATTTGTATTTTCTCGTTCCCCTTTAGATCTTGGGGGAAAAATCTGGTGGGGGGTTGTGGTGTTGTGACATAAGAACCTGGAAAAGAATTGATGAAATCTTTTTAGAGAATAAAAAAATGAAAAATGAAAAATCTGCACAAATAGTTTCCAGATGACGATTTAGATACAACATGTTAACTCTTCACTCGCCTCTTATGCGTGTAAATCACGAGTGTAAAAGTGGTGTGTATTAAATACACTTTGAAAAGATGGAGTATGTAAGGTAATTTTTGTTCCCAAAAGGTGTGTTACAGGAATTTGGTCCATAGTTCCGAGAGTAAACTATGTATTCTGCCTAAAACTTAGTGTTGGTAATATTTTTCGATTTGACTATTGAGGAAATAGCCTATATGTGAACTTTAAGTAGAAAAGATGGGATATTAATATTATAGCCAGTAGTGACGTTTTGTAGTGAATGCTGGAATGACTTCTGCAGTTATCAGAAGGCAGAACCTGATGTCATCATATCTCTCTATATGTGAATAACAGACATACTAAACCAAGAAAATAACAATTCATTCCACCAACTATTTCTGTTCTTGCTCACTCCTACCTGATTTTGATTATGATATATTTTATGTGCTCCATTTAATTTTTAAATAATAGGGCCTCAAATTATAGCTCAAAGTATAATCCCATTAAGTCACTACATTTGATTCAATTCTATTTCTTTAAGCGACCAAAGGTGGTCCTAGTGAAAGCTGGCATCTTTATTACCTTTCTCCTATCCAACTTTGTGTGGTCTTGGAGATAGTGGTGCCTTTTTCTTTTTTATTTATAAATATACATTCTTATATTTTTAAAGTTTATTTAGCTTTCTTGTGGTTTTCCAAGAGTGGTAACTTTTTATCTTCACTATCTTCTAGGGATGAAAATTTTATTTTGTGTGTGATACAATTGACACTAGTTGTACGAGGCTGTTTTTTGTCTCACAGTTTTGTGGATCCAGATTTCTGTGGACCCAGAAGTATAAGATTGGGGTCTACAAATTTGTGAGACAAAAAGGAGCCTCATACAACTAGTGTCAGTTGTACGAGACACAAAATAAAACTTTTCCCTGCATTCAATTTCAAAGTATCATCTTAGGGTCGGCCTGAAACAACCTCTCTATCTCCTAGAGGTAGGGATAAGGTCACTCTACACACTACCCTCTCCAAACCCCTGTATTTGTTATTGTTGTATACAATTTCAAAGTAACTTGTATTTACAATTTCACCGAAAACACAAAAAAAAAACAAGAAACAAAGATGGTTTTCTCCGGGGGTGAAGAACATCAGGGTACATTTCAACAAAACTATGATAAACAGAGTGAATTAAAAGCATTTGATGACACAAAGGCTGGTGTCAAAGGGGTTGTTGATGCTGGAATTACTAAAGTACCCCGGATGTTCATTCATCCACAAGAAAGCATACATAACTCCTCAAACTCCACTGAGAAAAATTTCATTTTTCCAGTAATTGATCTTGAAGGCATTGATCATCCAATCAAGCATAAAGAAATTGTCGATAAAGTTCGAGATGCATCAGAGACATGGGGATTTTTTCAAGTGGTTAATCATGGAATTCCATTACCTGTCCTTGAAGAAATGTTACAAGGAGCCCGGCGATTTTTCGAGCAAGATATCGAGATTAAGAGACAATATTATACTCGAGATAATACAAAAAAAGTGGCACATGTTAGCAATTTTGATTTGTATAGCACATCTGTTCCAGCAGCAAGCTGGAGAGACTCACTTTATTGTGTTATGGCTCCTAATCCTCCTGATCCAGAGGAACTGCCAGTAGCATGCAGGTATGTTCTAACATGAATTAGAAAGAAAATATTCTTTCACAAAACACCAACCAAATTTGCTTACTTTTTAGTATCTAGTTATGGTGGGTACGAGGAGGGGTAGAGGTAGGCCAAAGAAGCATTTGAGATGATAAGGCAGGACATGGCGTAACTGGAGTTTACTGAGGAGATGACCTTTGGTAGCAGGATGTGGAAGTCGAGAATAATGGTAGAAGGTTAGTAGATAGTCGAGCGTGTCCGTTTTTCTTTCGTAGTCCATTAGCATTAGTGTTAGTGTGGTTTCGGTTTATTCTTAGATTGATACTACTACCCATTGTTTGATTGCTATATTTGCGTCGACTTTCTTAATATTTTGTGTTCGTTTTATTCTTAGATTTCTATACTACCTATTGTTTGATTGCTTTCTTTGCCTCAGTTTTCTTAATATCTTGAGTTATTACTACTTGTTTATGCTACTCCTTCTCTTCTTTTCTTCCGCCGAGGGTCTATCATAAATAACCTCTCTGCCTTTCCAGGGTAGGAGTAAGACTGCGTACATCCCACCCTCTCCAGACCCCACTTGTGGGAATACACTGCGTTTGTTATTGTTGTTCAGTATCTAGTTATGTTTAGTAGAGGGCTAGAGGCAGATCTTGGAGATTTAAACTTTATGGGTTTAAGCTCGGGATTTATCACAGTCCATTTGATTTAATAGGTTCCAAGTCTATTATTTGTACTTATTTAGTAGTAGATTTATTAACACGTATATAGGGTATGAAGAAAAATTACTGAGTTCGCTGAACCTATAGAAGGTGTATTCGATCCACACCTGATGTTCAATGTAACAAAAATCAAGAATACATCATGACAAAGTATTATAGTATCTGAATTCTGATGTGCTGTCATTGCAGCTGTTTTATGTTAAAATGTGAAATTTGGTGGACAATATGAAAAATAACAATTTTTTACAGGAAGTCAAGTTGCTGAAAACTAATTGAGTATACTCATTTGTATCTGCAGCTTTATCTATGTTTTATAATATTTTGCAGGGAGATTTTAATGGATTTTTCTGAGCATATGATGAAATTAGGCTACTCATTACTGGAATTATTGTCCGAGGGTCTCGGTCTCAATTCTTGTCATCTTAAAGATATGAACATTGCTGAGGGGCTATCTATTGGCCACCATTACTATCCAGCATGTCCTCAGCCGGAACTCACTATAGGCACCAGAAAGCATTCAGACTGTGTTTTTATGACAGTGCTTCTGCAAGATGATATAGGAGGTCTACAAGTTCTTCACCAAAATCAGTGGATTGATGTTCCTCCTTTATCGGGCGCTCTAGTGGTGAATATTGGAGATATGCTGCAGGTTAGAATTTTTTTGCTAATAATACTTAAGCTTTTAGATGAAACAATCGCATAATTCAATACATGTTAATGTGACTGATAATTTAATCATAATACATTGTCTTGGTACTGAGAGAAAATTTGCTTATTTGATGTTTTTTCCAGCTAATATTAAATGACAAGTATCTAAGTGTTGAGCATAGAGTATTGTCAAATAAAGTATGTCCAAGAATATCAGTCCCAAGCTTCTTCAGCACAGGTGCATTTCCTTCTTCCAGGATTTATGGACCAATTAAGGAATTGTTATCAGAATGTAATCCGCCAAAGTATCGTGCAACCACAGTGAAGGAATATACAGACTTCTTCCGCAGTAAAGGCTTTGATGGAACTTCTGCATTGCAGCATTACAAGATCCTATCCTAGAAATGAAGAAATTTAATCGAATGCATATCAGAGCTCAGAATCGAACTTATGATGTACAATTAGCCGATAAATATACTGTAACTAAATTTCCATAGATGTTGACAAATGCCTTGCTAATTTTCTGTTGAAATTTGTTTTAATAAATCACTGATCTACTCAAGGCTTACATGCAATATAACGCTTGGAAATATAATCAATTATAGAAATTTAGAAGCATTTCTTATTACGCATCCATATTATATGCTTTCTAGTCATGCTAGCCATGGATGATTGCCTATATACTTTCAGCTTTTAAACAAATTCATTTCTTAGCTTTAATAAATGGATACTGGAGTTCATTTATTTCTTTTCAAGATTCAGTTCAGCATGTCACCATTTGAAAATTTCCAGTGTTAATCATGGAGATGAAAGTGCAAGTATACCCTCAATGGTCATATTAAATTGGACCTTTTTTCTTTTTCTATTGAGAAAACAAACTCACATATGCTGTATTCTTAATGTCTTGGTGATTCATAGTCATTACTCATTAATGTGTTGTGCCTACTATCCATGGAAACTATCTCCATGACTACAATAAGATTGAGGAAATTTTTTGTCTTGTTCTTCTATCTACCTTCCATGGAGAAACATGAACAATGGGATTCATACAATGACCCTAACTTATTTGGGATTGAAGCATAGTTGTTGTTATTGTGATCTGCTTATCTATGTTTCATAAACTACCACTATATCTTCTATTCCCTCCGTTCACTTTTACTTGGCAGGTATACTAAAAATAGATTTTTATTTTACTTGTCACTTTACGCATATCAAGAGAAGACAAATTTTTTTTCCCTGCTATACCCACAGTATTTATTACTCATTTTAAATCATTTTCTCAAATTCAATAAAATATGCATAAATTAATATGAGTATCATAGTAAATTATGCACTTTATTTATTATTTCTTAAGGGGCACTAGAAGTCAAAACGTGCCAAGTAAAAGCGAACATAGAGAGTAATTGAAGGATTGCATATAGGTGTTCGTAACACGTAGCGGAAGACAATAACAATCTTAAGCAAATCTTTTCGTGTTTAAAATTTATTTACATGTCAAAGATCAGATCTAAGACGTACCTGGTGAAGAGAGTCTCATTTCAAAATTTCTTCGATAGTGCGAAGAATTTATGCGTATCCACACCGAGACCGATCCTTGCTATCAACTCTTTGATCAACGAAACCCACGAACAAATTGAACAAAAAATTTGCGCTGAAATTTTTCTCAAAAATATCAACTCAAATTAGAAGAACAAGAAACACTTTTCTAGTAATTGTATTTTCTCTCTTGACTTTATTGCACTCTCACTTTCACAAAGTATTTTTATTCTCAAGAATTAATAATGCGGCAAATTTTCTCCATAACCCTTTATATAGCATTACCTGTAAACCTTTTTCCTATTTGGGTAAGGTAATAATTTACTTAGGTTAAAAGTTTATTCCAAAAATAAACTTGATCGATTATTTTCTAACGAAAATCAGAATCCCATTCTTAATGGGTTTGGTGCCCAACGTCCTTCCTAAGGACTTTGACGTGAAGGTTCTGTTAATGTNGTTATCAAATATAAAGTAATTAATCCTCTAGCAAAGATCAGAACACTCGTTAGTGTGCAACCCCATAGGTTCAATACTAAACCGGTAGTAAATTGATCACATCAATATACTAATCAAGGGTGGCGTCTAGCAACACTCCTTAACGACCGGATAGAATGAAGTATACAATTTACTCTCAAGAACCAGTAGAAGAATAATGTAGTAATTCCGTCTGTCCTTATAGCTCTGGGTCACCCTAGGATATAGTTCAACTGTCAAATTCAAATAGGCGACCAACTATGTATTCATGTCAAATATAATCGACCATTGAATGACCTAAAAAACTCTTTTCTTCTTTCATTCGATTGCCTTGACCAAGGTCTTAGTTTGGTCGTTTATAATTCATGATAACATGGAGCTTAAACTCATTACCAAGAGTTGACAGATTCCATCTTAATCAATCACTAATTCTACAAGTATTCAATCGTACCCAATATCCTTTCAACTATCGCCCTAGGGCCATAGGTGTCTAGTATTAAAGCACAACAAATAACTTGTCAATTACTATGACGATCTCAGGTCAAAGGAAACTCTTATATCACATTCTTCAAGAGAATATCCTATTGACAGTTTACGGTAATACTAACCATTAGGAATTATCCAATGAGCCGGTTCAATGATCATATTTCTTTATGCATCATCTATCTATGTGATTCAGTTAATGAGATCAACTAATCTTTATCCCATAAAGATAATCACATAAATATTGATCTAAGCGGATTACTAATGTTCAAATTAATAATCCTATGATCGAGAACAAATTTAGATTAAATTGTAAGAGACTTTGCTCTCATTATCATGATCTCTATCACGATGACAAGTCTCAAAATTTAATCAAGGACCTTATCAAATTAATTAAACAATTAATAATAACTATGATAAAAGAATACCATATTTTTTTATATCAAATAACGTTCACAAAAATATGTTCAAATCATCAAATATGAGATTGGATCTAGGGCATATCTACTATATCCCTACCACTAATATCCTCTTCTATTTTTCGGGGTTGGGTGGTTGGGGTTGGAGAGAAGAATGACAGTGGGTTCAGACAATGACCAATCAAAGGGACTAAAAATGATTAACTAATCTTTTTGTTTTCTTCTGCTGAAAATAGCTAGTTTATTGGTATGAATTAGTGATGGTCACAATTGTGGTCCAAATTCCAAGTGTCCAAGAGTCTAAGTTAATGGCTCTTTGAAAATAACTCTAACCACTATGACGTATGAGCAGATATCTAACAAAATGTTTTCTTCCTCCTGTCTTTCCTCAGAAAATAAAAAAATTAAAAAAATAAACAGTCTGATACACTAAGCTCTCGCTATGCGCATGATTCAGGGAAGGGTCGGATCAGAAGGGTTTATGTTACACATCTTTATCCTACATTTCTGCAAGAGGTTGTTTCCACGGCTCAAACTCGGAGGTCACATGGCAGCAACTTTACCAGTTACGCCATGACTCCCTTCTCCTCTTTCCTCATTTTGAGAAATTCTCCATATCTTAGAATATTTTGCAGTAAAACTCATCAACCATTTAAAGCTTATCATGTCAATCTCCTAGTTTATAACCTCTTATTTTTTGTGGACAGGAAAGATAGTGTTCTGCATAGAGAAGTAGTACTGTTTTTGATGTCCAAATGCTTCCCATTAGGTTCTAAGAAACTCAGCCACTCTAATTGTTCATAACATCCTAGCAAAGAAGATTCGTCTCTCTTGAGCTGAGGTCTATCGGAAATAGCCTCTCTACCTTCAAGGTAGGCATAAGGTCTGCGCACGCACTACCCTTGTGGGATTACGCTGGATTTGTTGTTGTTGTTGTTGTATACTAGCAAAGAAGATGGTAGTCTCTAGTACTGATAATTTTCAGGCTACAGTTCAGAAAAGTTACGACAAAATGAGTGAGTTAAAAGCCTTTGATGATACAAAGGCTGGTGTCAAAGGGCTTATTGATGCTGGAATTACTGAGGTACCTAATATGTTCATTCTGCCACCAAAAAACAGACCGGACTCCTCGGAAACCTGTGAAACACAGTGCATTTTTCCAGTTATAGATCTTGAAGGAATTGATGAGGATCCAACGAAGCATAAAGAGATTGTGGATAAAGTACGAGATGCATCGGAGACATGGGGTTTCTTCCAAGTGATTAATCATGGCATTCCATTACCTGTCCTGGAAGAAATGTTGCAAGGAACACGACGATTTTTTGAGCAAGATATTGAGGTTAAGAAACAGTATTACACTCGAGATAGTACGAAAAAGGTGATTCATACTAGCAATTTTGATTTGTATAGTCCTTCTGTTCCAGCTGCAAATTGGAGAGACTCACTTTTCTGTTTAATGGCTCCTACTCCTCCTAGTCCAGAAGAATTGCCAACAGCAAACAGGTATGTTCTGAGCATGACTTAGAAAACCAACCAATTCATTTCATTGCCTAGTAACAATATATGTATTCTGTTTTGACAAAAATCAAGAATAAACCATGAAAATGTTCGCATTGTTATGTGCTTCCTTGCAAATAATTTGTGCTAAAAACTATGTTTTCTGTTTTGACAAAAGTTAAGAACAAAAAAAAAGGCAGCTCGGTGTACAAGGCATCCCGCATTCATGCAGGGTCGGGGAAGGGCCGCACCCCAAAGGGTGTGATATAGACAACCTACTCTAATGCAAACATTAGTGGTTGGTTCCATTGTTCGAACTCGTGAACTATAGGTCACACGGAGACAACTTTACTATTACTCCAAGGCTCCCCTTCGACAAAAGCCAAGAATAAACCATGAAAATTTTGGCATCGTTATGTGCTTCCTTTCAATTAATTTATGCTTAATGTGAGTTTTTTTATGGATACTGTTGGGAAACTAAGAAAATTTAACTAGAAGTCTGGTCCCTGAGAGCCAAATGAGCATATCATTTCTCTATTTTGTAAATATTGATATGTGCTGTTTCACTAGTTATACTGAAATTGCTACAGGGAAATACTACAAGACTATTCTAAGCATGTAATGAAATTAGGCTGCTCCTTACTTGAATTATTATCAGAAGGTCTTGGCCTCGATCGTTGTCATCTCAAAGATATGGATTGTGCGGAGGGGCTCGGTATTTTGGGACATTATTATCCAGCATGCCCTCAGCCAGAGCTCACCATAGGCACCAATAAACATTCTGACAATGATTTTATCACAGTGCTTTTACAAGATCATATCGGAGGACTCCAAGTGCTTCATCAGAATCAGTGGGTTAATGTTCCTCCTACACCTGGTGCTCTCGTCGTGAACATTGGAGATCTTCTACAGGCTAGTATATTAATAAATATATATTAAATTTTGAACACCTTTTGCAAGATTTCTAGCTTCGTCACTGTTTGGCACTGAAACTGATTGTGCTTATTGTTGGTGGTTTTTCAGCTCATATCAAATGATAAGTACATAAGTGTTGAGCACAGAGTATTGGCAAATAAAGTTGGACCAAGAATATCAGTTGCATGCTTCTTCTACACTGGTCCACGACCATCTTCCAGGCTTTACGGTCCAATTCCTGAATTGTTGTCAGAAGATAATCTTCCAAAATATCGTGCAACAACAGTGAAAGACTACACTGATTACTTTCGTCAAAAAGGTCTAGATGGAACTTCTGCATTGTTGCATTACAAGATCTAATCATAGTTAATAATTAAAATTCTGATGATAACAGAAAATTTTTGTGATGTATCACATGCTTAAGCTTCAAAGATATTGAAATATGCACTGTTATGCCAAGTCCTTTTTGTCTACTGCTTATGAGTAATGGAAACTAGTTTGGAGCACAGATTATTCATTATTGGCAAATAGACTAGATACAGGTCGATCTTGCAATTTCCAAGATTTTGGACCAATTATGAAATGTTATTAGAAGATAATCCCCCAAACTATCATGTAGGGCTGTAAATTTAATATTTCAGGCCAAAACCCTATTTCCCCAATTTCCCTCCTCTCTCTCTCTTTCGATATCTTCCACTCCATCTCAGCGGCCGACAAAGGCAAACAGGCGGACGAGGCTAAGGCTGACAGAGGCAAACCCAGAAAAAGGTGTCAGCCTTAGCCTCAACCCAAATGTCACTCAATGATGTAGCTTCAATATGGTCGCAGGTGGTTGGTGGTGCAAAGAAAGATAGAACCTACGGTCTTGGATCACAACATTTCGTAGGTCGTCCTACGACATTGTTGTTTGGTGATACGAGTTATTCGTAGGATCATGAAGAGGTGGAAGCATTACGAAAAGAAGTTGAAGAGTTGGAGGAGGAACGGAAAGAAGATCGTGCAAATTTTAACAAATTGCAGAGTTTAGTTGAGAAACTTATGAGCATGCGTCAAGTTGATCCTTTGAATGACGAATGTGGCGGGGATAATGAGTTTTAGTTTGTGGTGGTTGTGATGTTTGAGACATTATTATTTGTTATGGTTGGATGTTTAGACTTGGTAAATATTTAGACTTGACTATGATTGTAATGTTAAGTTTTGATTGAATGGTGCTTGGATGTTTTAGTTATAAATGTTTATGTTTTCTTTAAAAAAAATCATGTAGGGCAGTTAAATTTGGTCCAAGCCCAAATGATCCGCTCAACCTGATCAAGGTTGGGCTAGTTATTGACCCCCCATTTAATAAAGGAAATTTTATCTGTTATAGCAAAGCTTTACACCCTATTTGTTATAAATAAAAACTATTTTAAAATATTATTTTCTATAGCTACCTTTTAGTTTTTATAGCAAAATATGCATTTATGGTCATTTCCTACCGTTAAGCCATTAAATACGTTGTCTAATATTTTTCTCTCTCATTCTTTCAGTTTATTCTCCCCCAAAATCATGCATAGTATCTTATTTCTCTCTCCATGATCTATTTCTCATTCTTTCCTATATGAACCAGAAAACTGGTTTCCTCCGACAGACGGTCTATAATGGCGTCAATTTCCACTCTTTCATTGTTTTTCATTATTATCTCTTTCTGTCTCACTCCGGTGACCATTTCCGTCTAATTTGACGGTCATGAAACTTTCATCATTCATGTTTTCAAATCCGATAAGCCCCGTATTTTCACCACTCACCACTAAAGTTTTTGGGTAAAGCTTCTTCTTTTTCTCTTCAACATTATTTTTAAAAAATATTCACCATTGTTAGGTTTTCTGCAAAATACCCACTAAAGTACTCAATTTCGAAGGGCCATCTTTCGATTTGCAAATTACTCAAGAGGAACCTGTATTTGCAGGTTCATCAGCAACCATTGAAGTCAAAAGGAGAACAAAAATACGCAATGACCCTAATTGTAGATGTATTTATATGTATTCGAGTCCTCATACATTGATTTTTATTTTCTATAATGGTTTTCTCTTCTTGTATTTAGATGTATTTGATAAAAAATACACTAATTTTTATTTTGTACAGTGATTTTTGACTGTTGTATTTAGATGTATTTAAATGTATTTGAGTTCTTACAATAATTTTTAAATACAATATTAGTTCTATCATTTTGATGTTATTCATCATTTAGTTATGCATTCAATCTAACTGTATTCATCTGTATTTTCAACCTAACTGTATCCATCTGTATTTAAAACAACAATACAGTGAAATATAATAAAATACTCTCAATACAAATAGAAAATCAATGAATATAACCAATGAAATATACTCAATAAAGCGGTAATACCATATATTAGGAATAAATAAAATATTGTGAATACAACAATAAACTTGAATACATTGAACACAACTGTTAGATACAACAGAATACAAGCACTAGGTTTATTATGAAATATGCAGGCAATAAGTTACTATTACATGTTGTATCCAGCATAAATATATGATGTATTCATATACAAAAAGCCGAATTTCAAAATATTTCTATAGATACTTGTATCAATTCCGAGCAGAACCTCGAAAATGTTAGGAAAAAAAAAACTCGACGTTGGAGTTGCTTGATATGAAGAAGGATACAACATGACTTTGAATTGGAAGATATTGTCGCACATTTAGTTGATGTCCATGAGGAGTGAACAGACTTGTACAACTGGTGAATGAGCACAGGCTCAGGATGGGTTACATATTTTGTAGTAATAGTACCCAGTGCAATGACGTTAAAAGATGTCGGCATGTAATTTCCACATGTGTGTTATCTCTTGTGAGCAGGTTAGCGGTCGCATAATATTGACGAAGCTCCTACGAAGAATTCTACTGGCTATCCGGTAAGAGGTCGAATATGTGAATGTGGCTAGTGGTTCAGAGTGTTCGTGAAAGGTTTAACAGAAGGATTTCGAGGAATTTTGGCGGTTTGATTGTGCAAGATCATGTCAATAGGGAGTAAGGAATCTTGGAGGGTTCTAGAATTATGCAATGGTAGCTTCAAGCTAAGTGGGAGAGTCCTACCGCCTACGGTCGGATTGCATGGTTGTCTATTTGTGAGATTTCTGGTTATCAGTGTATTGGTGGGTTATTACGTCTAAGGAAAGAAAACATCAGTGGTAATTTGAGCAACAGATTGAGGAATGTGTGCTATATTGGGCCTTATTGGTTCATATTCAGGTTTGGGAAAGCTCAGACTTTATGCTTCGTGTGGAGGTGATGTACAAGAAAGGTGATTCAGCTAATTGTCTTTTTGAGAGGGTGTACATGTGCTAGCAGAGCCTTGGAGTTGATTATCTTCGGGACCAAGTTAGAGTGGGTGACTCTCAACAACTGTCCTAGTGAATTCAAAGGTTAAAATGCGGTGCCTAAAGATTTCAAGCCCGCAACATGGTTAAGAATTGAGCTTTTGCAGCGGATTATAAAAAGAGGCTTGGAATGTTCTATGATATCTTCGGCTTGTAGTATAAAATTTGGAGGAATGAGAGAAAATGACTTCGGATTCATAGAGAAATTATCAGAGTGGGTGTGTCAGTTGAGGATGCAAACATGCGCACAAGGAGGGTATGAGATGGTTCGTAGAATTTGAGACAACATGGTTTCATGATACAAGGCCACTAAGGATGAGTGTGGATTGAGTTCGTTATGTGTGGACTGGAGTTATTATTATTTTTAAGAAAAGTTAAGGATAAGCTAGAAGAAGTCGGATCAGTTAGCCAGGGTTAAATTGGCATGATGGTGGCAGTGCTCAGTTCCTTCAGCATGATTATATTATGCACATGATTTATGGGGGTACATGTAACGCTTGACGGCTGCCGTAATTGGTTTTATTTGGAAGTATTCAAGTATTACGACTTGTTATGTGTAGGCAGATCCCAATTATGGTGGTTTAGACCACTACTTGAAGATTTGCATGTTCTATGGTTATGAAAATGCAGTCATGTTGCAATGATTCTCCTGAAACGAGTAAAGCGAAAGGTTTCTATAAAGTGAAGTGTGTATCTTATTAGTGGTTTAAGAGTTATGATGAAATTCTTGGGTTCTCATGTATTCATACAGTAGGTGCAGTGAGCGACATGAAATTTGAAAGTTAAGGATTAAGGTTGCAGTTCGGTATTGACAAGGATGTCACGAACTCGGATGAGCAGGAAAGGATTTAAATGGTTAAAGTAAGCTGGTATAATCTTCAACATCACCTGAGATCAGTGTCTTGTGCAAGAGGCTTCGTGTATTGATTTGCGGATCCTTGATTGGCTTTACAGCATTAGTGCAGTCGGTAGTATGGGTGTGCAGACTTGTTACCTTGTGTGGAAGGTCGTGGGAGCGCATCTCATGGGAAGATTGTATAAGTGTGCCATGAAGTCACTTGATTGGTTGAAGATTTAAACCAAGTATGAAGATTATGGTAATATCGCTAATTTGAGAATGTATGCCTAGCGAGCGCTCGATTCATTTGGTTGTGGACTGTGGAAGTTTGTTCCTATTATGATTGATGTTATTGTATGTTATAGAAAAAATGGTTATTGTGGACCCTTGAAAGGTTATTAGCCTAGTACAGTGCGATCAGAATCGGCTTGAGGTCTGTGGATGGAATTAGATATGAACGTGGGCTCAATATCGGGCCGGATGTATTCATTTCAACATAGCACTCCTTATGGAGGAATATTCGAACGTTGGATGTTGTTTCATCGTCGGCTATTTCATGTAAACTATATTGTGCCGTGTTAGTTGTGAAATGGCTAGATAAATTTCTTATGTGTTGAGGTTCGGCGTAGCGATGGCTTTATGTAAGCAGGATGGCTCTCAAGATTCAGATCATATATCGCACCTTAGTTGTGCTTGAGTTTTGTAGCATATGGAACTATCTGTCTCCCCAGGGATGGTATTATGCACTTAGCGTGCTCGGGGCTGGTATTCGGGTATTTTGTAGTAATGAGAATTTTAGCTCGGTAAGTATCTCTTTATAAAGATTTTATGTGTGGATCGGGTGGCAAGCCACCATGGGTATGTTGTTTTGATTGGGTTGCACGCCGCAACAGTGTGATATTGAGTTTAATCCCCTATATTTTATTTTGTGTGTTTTGTTTCCCATTTTCTGAGGAAGGTTCATAATACCTTTTCTGTTGTCCAATTAGTTACGTGGGTTGAGAGTCCGTTCCAGAGATTGTTTTCCTTATGTATCACATTCGAGTTTGTAGCTTATTGGCACATTGTGGCATCACATGAGACTTTTAGTCATGTCTGGGTGGCTTATTGCCTGAGCAGCTAATCTGGGATCAGTGCGATCTGATTGCATGAAGTATATTAAAGAGCAAATACCATTATTTGGTTCATAAGGAGGTGATGATTCTAGTCAAGAGGAGAGATTCAATGATTTGTTGACTCGGCAGTTGGTTATGAATTTCTATACGTCTCTTTCATCGTGATGGTATTGCAAGAGTT